ATTGCTTAGCTAGCATGGTTGATGTTGATCCAGCATCGGGAAGATCCTGCTGCTGCAGAGTTCTTTCTTTCCAAAATTTTGATTGTCCTCCAGGTAACTTACAAGCATCATTAAAGCAGCAGATTGTACCTAGTGCTGCGGTTGCTGTGAGGCCGGTCTGTTCCTAAAACTGCTAAAATGGGTTATAGAAACAATTTTGGGGCACATTCTGCTAGCTGCTAAGCTTTGACGTTTTATAGTTGGGCAAATCTTCTGATGTCTTGGTGCATCACTTCTGGATTTGCTTCCCATGACAGCTTACCAGAACTTTTTAGAATTAGACAGAAGATAGTTGTTTATTTTTCTGAATGAGTATATGTTTTTCTTCTACTGCCTTGGCCAAAAGACAGCAGACAAACAGATAAGCAAGGGATGGTTTGTTAACTCTTTTTCTGTAAAGATAAGGCTACGCAGAGACGTGTGATATGTTGTCAGCTTGAGTAGGTTTGTTTGAAAAGGCTGTTAGTGATACGTATAGCATCCTTTTTCTGGGGTTATCGTATCTGTCAACAGCACACTTTTTTTCCCCACTCCTTTTCTAGATGGCATCTGCTGAAATTAGTACTCCCGTGTCTATGAGGATGACTAGAAGAAGAACTAAAGCAATGCATAGGCCAGAGGTAATTCAGGAATCTCAGTCTGAAGAGGTGGAACATGCAGAAACAAAGTCAGATGTCAGTGATAGCTCAGAGATGCAAATTACCAGAAATGAGAATGCAACCGTTGATTCACCGCAGTCGGTCCCTGAACCTCAAGCTGATGGGGACGTGTCAGAAGCAGAATCAAACTGCTCTGCTGTGTCTGGTCTCCAGACACCTCTGTTTGTAAGAGTAACAAGGCGACGACAAATTGTAGTTCCTTGCCAACCAGATTCTCCTAACAGAAGAAGACGTGACAGGACAGCTTTTCTAAATAAGTTAAACAAGATTCTGGATGAAGAGGATGTCTCTGAAGCTGAGTCTTGCTCCTCTGCTGTTTCTGGTGCCCAGATGCCTAGTGTTACTAGAACTACAAGAAGCAAGCAAAGCAAGAAGAAATTGAAACCAGATACAGTTCATGAAGCCCAGAGTGAAGATATTTCTGATGCAGAGTCATGCAGCTTAAGTTCCTACGTGGAACCGTCCATCGCTGCCAAACGAATTACTAGAAGCATGCAAATGAAATCACAAGCAGAAAACGCTAAGCAGACTGAGAAAGAAAGTGTAATTGTTTCAGAAGATGAGAATGTAATGGAGGAAACAGCTAAACCTGAGCCAGTGTTAATTTCTGATTCTAGACCTGCTGCAGAACTTGTCTCTGACACAGAAGATGCTTCCTCTGTCACTGAGGATAATCGGGAACCCAGTTCACCTAAAAGCAAATGTTCTTCCAAATCTGCCAATACAACTCCGAGTAAAGACATGAAAGAAGAGTTCTTGAATTATTTGACACCCAGCAGTCTCACAAAAATTAAACAAAGTGACACTGAATCTCCTGGGAAAAAAGCAATTAAAATTACACAGACTGTTGGGGTAGATGGTTCAGAGGAAGCATGTGGCCAAATACAAGAACAACACGGTGAAATACTTGTGAAGGAGTGGAAATTAAAGCATGTGGATCTTTCTTTGACTGATTGTGTCACTGCAAAACAATTTTCAGAATCCCAAGAGCAAGTAACACCAAAGGAAAGTGGAAACACTCTGGAAGGCAACAGAGCAGATGGCGAGGTAGATGCACAGCAGTCTTTCACCCATGCTGATAAATTAAGTAAAGATGAGCAACCCAGTGCAGCGAGCAGCCCGCAAAAGGACACAGCTGTTGCACAAAGAACTGACAGCGTTGGAAGATGCAGGACGCTTAAAATCGGTGTAGACAGAGGTGAAGACCAAACAGGAGAAGACGCTGAATCTGCATCCCACAGCAGCAAAAGAGCAAGCAGTGAGAACAGTTCTGTTGCTCTGTTTGTGAGCAGAGATGAAAGTGATGAGTCTGAAAATAGTGATGTGGCTGACATAGATACACTTGAAGATAACCTGTGTTATAAAGAGGCTCCTTCTTCCCTCCACAGATCTTTAAAAACCAGTTCACTGCATGCTGAAGGGCTTTTTGTAATCGACACTGAGCCTGGCATGAGTTCCAGCCAGAAGTATTACCTAGATCAGGTACACCAAGATAGTGATGCTGAAAGTAGACATGAAGGAAGTGAACAAGGTGAAGAACCCTCAGACCTGGAAGAGGCTGAAGAGGAGCTGATAGATGAGGATGAGAAGGATGAAGACGACGATTTGTTGAAAAATAAGAGCGATGTGTAAGTATCTTTCTGGGAGTAACTAAAGAATCTGCATTTCATTCAAGCATATGTATAGGATACACACATTAGATGCTGAATCACAGAATCGCTCGGTTGGAAAAGCCCTCTGAGATCATCACGTCCAACCGTTCCTGTCTACCCCCTAAACCATATCCTTAAGTACCTCATCTACCTGCTCTTTAAACACATCCAGGGATGGTGACTCCACCACCTCCCTGGGCAGCCTGGTCCAGCCTCTGACGACCCTCTCAGTAAAGAACTTCCTCCTTAGCTCTAACCTGAACCTCCCTTGGCACAGCTTGGTGCCGTTTCCCCTTGTTCTATCCCCCATCACCTGGGAGAAGAGCCCAGCACCCACCTCTCCACAACCTCCCTTGAGGCAGTTGTAGGTGGTGATGAGGTCTCCCCTCAGCCTTCTCTTCTCCAGGCTAAACAAGCCCAGTTCCCTCAGCCGCTCCTCATCAGGCTTGTTCTCCAGAGCCCTCCCCATCCTTGTGGCTCTTCTCTGATGTGGAGTACATGAGGAAGTAGTTGTGTTAATAAGTTATATTGGTGTGGGAAGTTGGGTTGCACTGATTATAAAGTAGAAATACAGTCCATAAATTCAAGGTTTGGTGTTTGTTTTGTGGGGTTGGTGTTTTTTTCAGTTTTGTGTGTAGCAGGACAGAACTCTGAAATATTTGTCCATCTGGAGGCCTTGTATATGTTCAGCTTAAAAAATACAAAACTGAGTTAAACTGGGCAGGCTGACTTAATTGCTTATTTGGGTGACACTTTTTTTTAATTGTTATTTTTAAATCTATTTTTCTTTTTTCAGTTTGGATATAAATAACAAAAATTCCAGTAAATTCCTTACATGTTGCTTAATTAGATCATGAAAGCATGGTCTTTTAATTAATTTTCATTAATCTTAATCCTGAAGAGTTGCATACGCTGTTATGATTTGGGTTCTTGTGCTGTGGGATGGTGACACTTCAAGTGAAACCAGCTCAGCAGAGAATCACAGAATAATTTAGGTTGGATGGGACCCCTTGAGCCCTTGAACTTGAACTCCTGCTAAAATCTCTTTGTATGCTTCATATATTTAAAGCATAATACTCTATTAGTTAAATAAATAGGTCTTAATCTTCTTAAAACGTTCTGGTAGGCCAGAAGTCTTACAAGAACTTAGCCAAGCTTTTGGTATAAAGGTATTGTAGATGATTAGTCACAGTTTAATAGAAAGTTGTGAAGGGCCTGTATTAATAAGCATCCGAACTGTAATAAATACCTGTCATACCTCTTCAGATATTACCATATTTCTCCCTAGTACTTTATAGTTGTTAAGCATTCTTGAAATCAAAAGCCTCCTTTTAAGTCAGCCATCAAACGTTGTTTGCAGATGTGCTCCTTTGGCTGCTTGAACAAAGTAGTGAAGAAACATGGTAGCTTTGAAATGTTTCTAAAAATTTACCTATTTTATAATAGATAAAATATATAAAATAGAATATAAAAAATATAAAATTATACAGACAAGGACTTAAACGTCCCTACAATGAAGTCTGACTTCGTACTTTTCACGGAGAGTTGACAATTTGTTTGCCACACACACGTTTGTGCTTTTGTGGTTTTGGTTTTGTTTCGGTTTGTTTCTCTCTTCAGTTAGCAAGTTTCTCAACGTGTAGAAGAGGGGTGCTCTTCATGAGTTCTTTTGGCAAGGTTTAAGTGAATTAAGAATTCATTTTTGTAGAAGACAGTAATACCTAAGAAAACGATACAGTATTAGAGTTAACACAAAAGAAAGTGGGAAGAATAAGAAGATTTCTTTTTAATGTTCATCTTTCTCCTAGGACAGGAGAAGATCGAGCTGCATGCTTGTTGCAGTATTCTAATCCTTAACTATTTCCCTTCTAGTTTACATCTTTCCAGCAGCATAGACCCTGGTTTGAATATCAAGAAGCTTGGAGGTTTATATATTAGTTTTGATGCAAAACAGCAGAAGCCTAGTTCGAGTGTAATTAAACAACCGAAGGAGAAGAAGAGGGACCAGGTAATGTGTTCACAATCGTGCAGTTACTGCAGTAACACAAATACGTTAATTTAATAAGGTTGGTGTACTTGTTTCTAAAGAAGTATCCTGTTTTATGGCTTGCTCAGAACTTCCATTCTTTTTGGCCGATGTGTGTATTTACATTTGGGTTTATGAGCAGAAGGTCTGCTGAGATATTTAGTCCATAGCAAGATTAAATTTCACTAACTACATATCCTAGCCCTAATACGGAATTAGTAGTTTTATTTCAGAAGGAGTTTGATTTTAAAAATATCCCTTAAGATAAAGGGAGCGTGTTCTTTTTGCTGAGACAGTCCTCTCAGGCTCACCCATGATAGCCCTCTTCTATTCTGGGACAATTGCTATCTTGCTTCTTCCAGAGCCAACTGCTTTCTGTTGTTGGCCAGGGTTGTGTTTTGAAGGTCCCTGCTATTTTTGTGGTGGCCTGAAGAAGCTCAAGAGTTGTATTATAATGCTTGCTTATATTCTGCATGATCCCTTTGGGAAGTTCTGTAAATACAGTAGAGCAGTAAAGTTTATATCAGTGAGATGACTAACATGAAAAAAATACCTTGCAGCTGTTGCAGAAGAGTATAATAACTCCAGATTTTGAAAAAAAGGACTGCGTCCCACCCTTCAGGGAATCGCTTCACCAGCTGAAGAAACAGCGCAGGGTAAGTGAAGAGCTGGTAATGCCTCCAATGACAAAACAGCCTGGTAGAGGGGCCGTGCTGAGACTGTGTGCATGTAACAGGCCTCACTGGAAGTGGAGTGATGGACTGCAACTTGGTGTCTTCCTTGAGCCATCCCACGAAAAGCCATCCTTTGAAGTGAAAGATAACGTGCTCAGATGCTACAAATCTGTTGTTACTGTAGTGCTGATGATGTTCTTATTATAAGGGTCATTAAAAATAAAAACCAAACCAAAAACCCCCACGTTTTAAAGGTACAGTTAGGTTCTAAATGCTTTTTGCATCTTCTGGAAGGGAGAGTCCCTGGCTCTATCCTGTCATGGTTGCTGAAGGCAAATTTATTATTCTTAATATTGCATCCTAGGCAGAGCGAGAGAAAACAACGGGTGATGGTTGGTTTGGTATGAAAGCCCCAGAAATCACAAGTGAACTGAAAAATGACCTTAAAGTTCTGAAGATGAGAGCTTCGTTGGACCCTAAGCATTTTTATAAGAAGAACGACAGAGAAGGTCTACCCAAGTACTTCCAGGTAAGGGTGCAGCAGAAGGCGGCATTGTACTGCAGAGGTTTTGAAGAGCTATTCTTGTCCTCTATTTTGTACATAGCTTCTGTGTTGATTTAATTTCATAGCTTAATAATTAAAGTATTTCGATTATTGGCTGCAGTTGGGAACTGCTCAACTCCCTATTACATATGTGTGTACACTGAGGTTTTTTTAATTTCAGGTGATCATAGTACTGAATAAACATCTGACGTAACCCTTACTCCGAACCCTAGATTTTCACTAGAACTAGACTTTCACTGATTTTTTTTCAAGTATTGGCCTTTTTTAATAAGTGCATAGAAAATAATTAGCATTTATTTTCGTACTAGCTAATACAGTTCGAATGGAGACAGCTGGCTTTGTGATCAGCCAAAATTGCTGCTGCTATGGCTCTCAGCTTGGGAATGGTTCACATAAAGAAAATAACTACTGCAGATACTATAGAAATGGGCTTCTGTCTACTTAGGCCTGTTTGAATAGTTAGCATGGTTGAGGAAATTGTTTTCATTTCTCAAAATTACCACCCCTTCACTCTAAAGGGTTGGTCTTACTGTATGTGTTGAAGTTTCTGGGTATAGAAAAACTTGTCAGTGTTCCACATAATGAGATCTGCACAGGTCTGTTTTCACTACGTGAAACACGTGCTCCACACGTCTCCGCTACCAACCTGAGTCAGCAGAACTGGCTGGTTGGGAAAAATGCGATGCATTCCAGGGTGAAGCCCTTGTATTAGAGCTGGATTAACTGCTCTGCAGCCAGCTAGCAAAAACACTGCAATGACAGAGATAGGAAAGAGTTAAGAAGGGCATAAGGGGTTTCTTTAGCTCCTTGGGTAAATGTTTAAAAGCTAAGAACTGCATTTCCTTTATGAATACAAGTATGGATGCAGCAGTCCAGCATTGAAAACTCTCATCTTAAAGCTTAGGCCCTCCTCTGTGCACTGAACAATGAGATAAAAAGCGACTGCATGCAAAACATTGCTTAATTCTTCTGGTATTTTGCACCTCGTTAAAAGAGCATTCTGATCTTTGTAGGTGTCTTTACCCTTGTCAATGAGGACTTAAAAAAAAAGAGCAAAATAATCAACATCTTGCTGTGCAGTAAGAACGCGTTCATTCCTGTTTCCTAGGTTGGGACGGTGGTTGATTCTCCCATAGACTTCTACCACAGCCGAATCCCTAAGAAACAAAGAAAGAGAACAATTGTTGAAGAGCTGCTCGCAGATTCTGAGTTTAGAAGGTATTTAAAAACTTGTTTTGTAATTCTGATATCCTACAGAAGAGAGGAGTATTTTTAACTCTAACTCTTTTGTTTTTATTCAGCTTATACAATGGGGTTTCTTTTATACTTGAAAGAAAACTTTTTAGTCTGTTTTAGCACCTGAGCAGCGCTGCCATTGAGAAGATCTAAGGGACAGGAGATAAGTAGATTGAGGCAGCATGGTTTTTATCTTCATAAAAGGGCTTTATCCAACTCGGGTCATCGCTGTTGGCAGTCACTCTTAAAATAATGTCAGTGTTGAAGAGATAACAGTCAGCCCTGTTCTGGTTTACTTCTGAAGTAAGTGTCTGCACAGGGTTGCACCAGAAACCAAGGGCTCTGAGTGAGTGATTTATGCCTATGCATGCACTTCTTTTTTTCTTGTTTAAAGACTTTTTTTTCTTGGCATAATTGATAGAAATGCTGATTGTAATTCCATGAAAGTTGATAGGATTTCATTTTATAAGCACGTCAGTCTGCCACCTATCATATAGGAATCAAAAGTGCACTGGAAGTCTCACTTGAAGAATATGATTGGATTAATTAATGTTTGCCTAAACTGCAATTCCTGGAGTAGATCCCTTAGTTGATCCATCTTGATAGTGGTTATTAAGTGATGTTAATCTGCACTTCTTTTGTCACATAATGACATATTTTCTTGGAAGTAGGTCATGATTTAGGATTATAAGGTAATGTCAGACTTGTAAATGAATTATTAACGTAGGGAAGGCAAGTTAGTAAAGCTTTCTCTTAACTATTTTCTGGTTTGACCTGACTTACAAGGTATTTATTAGAAGCCATTTTTAACAATTAACGTCTTTGAATTTTGATCAGTGAATTTCTGTTGTAGCTAATGTAAGGGCTTTAACCAGATACTTTAGCATTAGCGCAGGTATTTGTCAGGTTTCAGTCTTGCCATTAAAAAGCCTCACCTGCTGCTCAGTGTGCAGTGATCTGTTGTGGTAATTGGTATAGGTACGCACGAATCTTTATTAGGGGAGCTGGCAACTCATGTTCAGTAAGTGTGTCCTGCTCATTGCTTAATTTCATCTCAGTTTCAGTCTTGAGTAGGGTAAGGTTGATTATCATGAGCTTGCTGAGAAGGCAGTATAAAGATGGGTATCATTTGTCCATAGTATTCTAGAAATTGGTGAGCAGTGCCAGTGTTTTAGCAAGCTGTTCAAAATGTGGTTGCATATGCAATGAACAGCTCCCTGGTTATGCCAAAATTAACGATTCTTCAATCAAATTTTCTTCCAGAACAAATTTACCTGCCTTTATCATTAATTCAAATGTTGATTTCCTTTTACCTGCGCATAAGTGTAGAAAAGCAAAGAAATCTGGCTCGGAAAACACGAGAGAACTCAGTTTGGCAAATCACAGATGTAAAGTGTGTTCCATGGTATCTTTTCCTGAATGTTGGTTTACAATGCTGAAAAGTAAATTATCTATTTTGTTCAGATATAATAAAAAGAAGTATCAGGAGATCATGAGTGAAAAAGCAGCTTTTGCAGCAGGGAAGAGGAATCGGAAGAAGAGGAAATTTCACAATTAAGACTTGAAGAAAAATAACAACTGGAACAACTTCCTTGTTATAAAACGTTTTACAGAATGCTTTGGTTGTGGTGGTTTTTTCTTTTGTGAGATTGGAGGTCACGTGCAAATTGAGGTTTAGGGAATTTCTTGCAGAGAGAATTTGGTAGAGAGCTTTATCAAATTACCAGGTATTTAAATTTAACTTTTGAAATCTATTTTTTTATTTAAATTAATGTTTACTTGAAAAGATAATTCTGTGAAAGCATATTGTTAAATCTGAGCACAAAATACAACCTCATGGATTGTGGTCTTTTCAGACTTCTGTCTTGACATCAGTGAATTGGTAAATTCAGTTTAAACTTGTGTGTAACTCACCTTGGCACCTGTCGTGTGCCAGAAGAAATTTTTCCATGTCTTGTGAGAGGTGCTGCTGGCCAACTCTGTAAGAAGAGGTATTGAGAAACAGTTTGGTTGTGAAGGGACCATTGCAACACTGACCATAACAGGATTGAGAATGTCCTGGAATTTGATGTATACACATATAAAAGTATTTATATTAT